CACTGCACTGGAATGCACAGCATTGCCGTACCATGCGTTCCAGTGTAGGCAATCACATTGTGAGTGGGAGGCGCTTTTAATGCCATTGAAATAAATGGCACTGCAAAGTACCTCCAGCAGGAGAATTTGCCAGGCCAAAACCAAAAATGCCTTTTTTCCCCACCTTTAACCTCTTGCCGTCCGCCCGTTAAGAAAAAACGGACGGACGGCAAACTCGCATCAGCTGGTTGCCGTCGCCAGACGGCATTTTTTTCCTGCTCGCGCGCGCACGGGCAGGCAAGACCTGCTCATTACATCTGGATGGGAAGGGGGTTTAACACCGCGGATGTCAACTGGTTAATACATTTTTTTATTATTACCTGTATTGAAAGCACATGGTGCATGAATAGCTTCAGTCAGGGAATAACAGCTGCCAGTGGCAAGATTCCGCAGATGGCAGCTGAATGTAAATACAGCCTGCTATTGGCCATTTCAAATTCAAGGCTAATAGGCAAGGAATTGACAAACAAAAAGCATGGGGAACTGATCTTTACCATGGGGAACATGTACCAATGCGAAAACAGTTTTAAGAAATACAATTCAGAGCATAGGGGGCCCTCTTGTGTTATGCAAAAAAACACCAAACCTTTGAATTACATGGGGTACTTTGCACCCACACACTGGTGGGCCCTTCTTCCAGCGTGGAGGAAAGAGTTGGGGATCCAACCAACTAATCAATAATGAGAATAATTGACAACTATTCTCATTATCGATTATTTGATTAGTTGGTTGCAGCTCTACTATATACTGTGTTTATATATATATATATGTCCTACTGTGACCCTGAAGAGAACTATGGCCAAAAAGGGTTAGGCCATAGTGCTCCTTTAACTAGTAACAAAAATGTATTTTATTCTGAATTGGTGCTGACACTGTCCTTCCTTCTGGAGAGTGGCTACTTTTGTTCCCCATGGTCCCTGTGCGTGTTGTAAAGTAGCCACTGCTCCAAGCTCACTCCTGTGATGGACTACAATCTAATGTTTAGGTAACTAATTTGTATTGAGATTGTAGTCTGTAATGTGTAAATAATAAGAATGTGTAAATAATTGAATGTTCATAGTCTGGGCACAGCTCAATTTTCAAGTCATACCTTACCTTTTCCCAGGAATTGCTGAATTCCATAGTATACCAGATTAATCATATAATTGCAGAATTAAATTCAAAGTTATAGGCTCTTGTTTTCAGTACAAAGTCTGACATGCGTTATTCATTCAAACAAATATGACTGTGCTAAAGTCTATTGAAAGACTGTTAATAAAACTGTTATCAAATTACCCATCTTCAAAGTTTGATGACTTTTTCTTTTTCAGTAAGGCCATCTGAAACTGACTCTTGGATGCCAGCCATGTTGTAATCAGAATTCGCAGAGCGTCTGTTGAACTTGGCAATCGTTGCCCCACAGTCACCTTTTTAATTTGTGTGATTAGAAAGTCATCTGGAAGAGGTCATAATAATAAAACTGTGAAATGCTTTCAATCATCAAAACATAACGACAACACTTTAAAATGTATGAGATGAATCACCCCTGTAATATTTTTAAAGGGATTGTGCAATTAAAAAAATAATTGAGATACTAGCTGTTCTTGAATGTCAGTTTAATGCCAGGGAGTTACCGAGACCATTATTGAACTATTTTGTTTTCTACTTTTATTTAACCTTTATTATACTGATCTTCACTGTAGTAAAGCAATATGTAATCAGTGCAGACGGCCATTCTGATTCCCACTCATTGTACCCTCGTATGTCAACAATTTTAAGCAAACCAGGTCTAAGAGAGTATGGAGGCTGACATTGCTGTCCTACTGTGGAAAATGCTAGTTGCCTGTCTGTTATGCTGATGTAGTGGCTTTGGTACTTTCTGAGTCACATGCATGGAACAAGACTGCAGATCAGGAAAGTCAACTATTAATAAAAGGTCCCTATCTGCACACTTTATCCAAGATATGTCCCATCTCACTCCTGACCGGAAACAAACCCAGAGATCGGGTGGGTGCCAAAGTGACTGCAGATGCCTCCGCCAGTACCATGAAATCAATAGATAGTCACTCCCGCTCCAATTTCATGCTAAGTCAATCCCTTTATTGATTATAGTAGTGTCACATTTAAAGCGACGTTTCGGAACCAAGTGGTTACTTCTTCAGGCCAACAAAAAGTTTTGAACTTTTTGTTGGCCTGAAGGAAGGAACCACTTGGTTCCGAAACGTCGCTTTAAATGTGACACTACTATATATCTGCACACTTTGACACCAGAGTTTCAGCTTAACAGCCAAGTACTTGCATCTTTAGCATGAGTAGTCAACAGTGACAGCTATATTTCACTTTAACTGCTTTATAGTACCCATGGGCATGAAATAACAGTAGTGACGATTTCATGTCTGTGGGTGACCCTTGGGCCTGCTGGCTGGTAGCTGTCAAGGGGAACAATTAATTGGTCAAGTTAGAAAACATGACCCAACCATTATTGATCTACATCTGATCACCCTTTTCCAGTGTCCCGCATCCTGCTTTGCCCCTTTTACTTTCTTTATATTGAAGGTACGTGCAAGTTCATTAGTAGAAAAACTACTACCATAGTGCTCTGCCGAAACCTTGCCCTAAGGGTATATGGGCCATGCCTTAAAGTGCCCACAATTTAAATGTTTGAATGAATGAATAACGCATGGCAGACTTTGTACCTAAAAAAAAAAAAAGAGCTCATAACTTGGTTTCATTCTGCAATAATATATTTTTTTATAGTGAATGATGAAATTCAGCAATTCCAGTGAAAAGGCAAGGTCTGACTTTAAAGTGCACCTGTACCCAGACCATGGACATTACTTTATTTACATATTCTTAAGAAGCAGTAAAATATGTTTAAAACAGGCCATCACTGACCTCTCTAGCTGCTAATGTAAAGTGATTAATTCTCAATGACTTCAAAGATCTCAACAAAGTTGGGTTATAGAGTCTCCATTGTACATTTTCTGGATTAATTTCTCCACAATAGGTGAATAATGTGAATAGGGGATTGTTTTGAAGTGGATTTACTACTCATTCAGAACATGTAAATGCTTTAGTGTGCATAGTCTAAGCACAGGTTCAATTGTATCATTAGAAGCCCTAGAAAACTATAACATTGGTAACATTAGACTGCATCTGCTTTACAAAATGTATTTAGGTGTCATTACCACTGGCAGGGCTGACGGAGCTCGTTTTTACATCCCTGCCTTTTAAGCCATTTCTACTGCAGCACTGCTTATGACTGCTTAGCGACTACACCATTTTGCATAGCTGCCATATAAGAGACATAGGTATTCTGAATTAAATTTAACTTTTTTACTTTCTTGTGAAATTGTTAAACCCATATGAAAAAGAACACGAGAGGATAACAGGATAGACAATTCAGAGTGATTCTCCCCAGAAAGGCTATCTGGAGCACCTACCCTACATAGCATAGCATTTACATAGATATGGGCCTATGTAATGAAATAAAAAAGTGGAATGGATAAGATTCCAGGTGCCATTTATCTAGTGCAAGTTACAAAATTACTGCAGACATCTAATTGATATAGACTACATTTTTTTTGTTATCAGTCAACTTCAGTTAGTGAAAGCAAGGTGTGCGTGTCTCAAATGCAATAAACTGATTGCAAGGGCTAATTGCACCAGTTGGCTATGTGTGTATTTTATCCGATTGTTTGTTTTGCTACATGGGTACACGAACTTTAATGGCATCCCTGTCTTAGTCCGTAGGGTTCAATATTGAGTTGGCCCACCCTTTGCCGCAATAACAGCTTCAACTCTTCTGGGAAGGCGTCCACAAGGTTTAGGAGTGTGTCTATGGGAATGTTTGACCATTCTTCCAGAAGCGCATTTGTGAGGTCAGGTACTGATGTTGGACGAGAAGGCCTGGCTCGCAGTTATTATATTCATCCCAAAGGTGTTCTATCGGGTTCAGGTCAGGACTCTGTGCAGGCTAGTCAAATTCCTCCACCGCAAACTGCCTCATCCATGTCTTTATGGACATTGCTTTGTGCACTGGTGTGCAGTCATGTTGGAACAGGAAGGGGCCATCCCCAAACTGTTCCCACAAAGTTGGGAGCGTGAAGTTGTCCAAAATGTCTTGGTATGCTGATGCCTTAAGAGTTCCCTTCACTGGACCTAAGGGGCCAAGCCCAACCCCTGAAAAACACCCCCACACCATAATCTCCCCTCCACCAAACTTTACACTTGGCACAACACAGTCAGACAGGAACCTTTTTCCTGGCAACCGCCAAACCCAGACACGTCCATTGGATTGCAAGACATAGAAGTGTGATTCGTCACACCAGAGAACATGTCTCCACTTCTCTAGAGTCCATCACTGCATCTGACGCTTTGCATTGCACTTGGGAATGTAAGGCTTGGATGCAGCTGCTCGGCCATGGAAACCCATTCCATGAAGCTCTCTACGCACTGTTGTTGTGCCAATCTGAAGGCCACACGAAGTTTGGAGCTATTGACTCTGCAGACAGTTGGCAATTTCTGCGCACTGTACGTTTCAGCATGTGCTGACCCCGCTCTGTCATTTTACATGGCCTTCGTGGCTGAGTTGCTGTTGTTCCCAGTTGCTTCCACTTTGTTATAATACCACTAACAGTTGATCGTGGAATATTTAGTAGCAAGGAAATTTCACTGATGGACTTTTTGCACAGCTGGAAACCTATCACGGTACTACGCTTGAATTCACTGAGCTCCTGAGAGCGACCCATTCTTTCACAAATGTTTGTAGAAGCAGTCTGCATGTCTAGGTGCTTGATTTTATACACCTGTGGCCTTGGAGGGGATTGGAACACCTTAATCCAATGATTTGGAGGGGTGTCCCAATACTTTTGGCAATATAGTGTATATGCTAATGCTGAACTTCTTTTATGTTATTGCTTTATAAAATTTTGTTTTGCTGTTTGTTATCTACCCAGTGATTTCTCTTTTCTGTTTCCTAGCTGCATTTGCCTTTGTTGTATTAAAAGATGATGTAAAAGAGACAGATAAAGAAATTAAAGAGGATCTTAAAGCAATAGTCGCCACAAAAATAGCAAAATATGCCGTTCCTGACCATATTATGGTGAGTATGTGCTAATGCATTCTAAATACGTTTACGTTTCTGTAGTCTGAGAATCTTTTTCAGTGATAACTTTAGTATAGCTAGTAGCTATTCACATTCAACTGGACTTGTACTGTAATGTTGAATGACTGAAGAAGTGGCTTGCGTAAGCTATGAAACATCTTTAACATTACAGAACAAGTCCAGTTGAATGTGAATGACTGCTACTAGCAATATCATGACCTGGATAAATGAGAACCTTCAGAGAGATAACTTTATAGTATAACCATACAGGTTATTGTGAGAAGAGACTGAAGCAGGAGTCACTAAATGGTGGACAGTGGTCCAGACAATGAACCAAGTAGGGTTTCTGTCTGTGACTGTGATTGCAAACCTGTGCTGGGTTATGGCTGGTAGCCCCACTGCAAGAGTTAAGAACATTTTTAACTGGAGTTGGTCACATGGCACCAAGGAATACATAGCACCCTTTGCCTGCTCTTGGACAATGGTGTAAAACAGGATACAGCCTACCAAACTCAGATAAACCACCAATAAAAGGAAATATGCTTTTGTCTGGTGACGTTTTATTTGCAAAAAAAGCCCGAAATAAATGTAAACAAAAATGCTATAGACTTGTCATTTTTTTTTTAAATATTTCTTAGATGGTGAAACGCCTTCCCAAAACTCGCTCAGGTAAAATCATGCGCCGAGTACTGAGGAAAATCGCCACGGGCAACATTGAGGATCTTGGAGATATAACCACCCTAGAGGATCCAGCCATTATTACAGAAATACTGGAAGCATATCACAAATACCAATCAGAACAGACACCCAAATAACTAAGAGACCCCTCTTTAATGCAGCTAAATGACAGCGAAACCATTTGCTAACATTTACCATTGGAGAACACTGCAATGCTAAGCATAGAACAACCATTAACTAATAAATGAACTTATTTGATGTACATTTAAATAACTGATCATACCAGAGCCTCATGATTGTTAATGTGCTGAATGGTATCCCTCTTTAACAAGGAACTCCAGACAGATACAACAAAAATCCAATCATGTATGAATTTAAAAAAAAACATTTCTTTCAGGTGCATTTATAAAAGTTCTGCCCACCGTATATCCAGGTAGATGGTGTTTGCACGGCACTAGCACCCTAGATGCCGCTGACGAGTGTACAAATTTTATAAATTAACCCCTAAATGTATGTATGACTAGCATACATCTTATATTCAGGACTGGGGGAGAGTCAGTTCTCTGAGCCAAACAGGGCTCTGTGGCTTTCCCTATTACTGTGAGTCTAGCACTGTGAAGATGCGTTCAGGAAGAGCACAGGCATGACCTCATGAGTGTGCTTGCTCCTCCATTGTCCACTCACAGGCTGGGGTGGGTCCTAGACTAAGAGACATTGCTTAACCCCCAACTGAAGTTTCATTTTAAGTCTGTAGTTAGTTTCTGTGATGTAAATGTCCCACTTGTGGTTTCTTGCTTAAAATAGGTCGAGTGACAGTGGAAAACGATGTTACAGGGCAGGAGGCTGTAAAAAAGGACTGCAGCACACAGAGCTGTAGGTCTGACAAACCAGGGGACCTGTTGGACCACTGCAGAGAGACCACTGCTTCCACACAAAAATCAGCAGTCCTTTTCTGCAACGTCTTGCTTGGAAAGTTTTCTACTGCCACTGGAGCTATGTTAAACAATAACCCAAAAGTAAGGCATATATAACATTATTTCCTGCACACTTTATTATTTATAGACCTCAAAATTAAACTTCAAATGGGCTTTACCTGCAGTATAGTCTGCAAGGAGGTCCAGTGCCTGTCTGTGCTGTCTAGCAGGAGTGCATTTGTCACAATAGTCGCTGAATAGATACAACAAGTCTTTTGGCAAGTAAAACAGCTCACTTATATGTATTGTGCTTGTATATTTAGCTGTTTGACTTGTTTTTAGGTTTAATAAGACACAGACTGTACAAAGATGTTAATACCCGTATGAAGGACCACAAACATGAAATTCACTTTATTTATTAATATAATGGTATGAAAAAAATCAATAAGTGCAATTGTATTACATTAATCCTTTTTAACTGTGTTTGTATTGCAGTTTTATAGTTTAGCACCAAATTCATTCTCTTTTATTCCTTCTTTCAAAACTTTTGTTCTACAAACAGTGCCATACAATAAAAACGGTATAAGGCTCCATTCACACAAGATCGGTTTTCCGCGCGTATTTCTGCATACGAATGTGCGCGGAAAAGGGCTAAACACATAACAAAACTGCATTGCAATGTGCATTGTTCGGACTATTGCGGCGTCCTGCAAAATAGTCCAAGTGCGATTTTTTGGGGGGCGGATTCCACATGTTCCAGCTATAGTAAGGCTCCATTCACACAGGAGCGTTTGTTCGCGGGCATTCGGCCGTACACATACGCGCGGAAACCGCTCTAAACATTAAAAAATGCACTTTAATGTGCATTATTCAGACTTTTCCGGCGGATGCCTGGTATGAAACCACGCGTCCCGCAAAAATAGTACAAGCGCGATTTTATTGCTATTTATAGCAATAGCCACAAACAAGCGGAATCCGTGCAGTTGTAAAGATTTTAGCGTTTCCGTGCCATGCGGTCTTCCGCATGAAAAACCGCAAGGGGAACGCAAATGCTATATGTGAATAGAGCCTAATAGTCACAAATGCACGGAATCCGAGCTTATGTTACCATTTGCACGGTTGGAAACCGCTACCGCTATGTGTGAATGGAGCCTAAGACACCATACTGTATATCAGAAGCAAGCAACTATGGAGCCATACTGGCAACCATAAAACATTTTTTTACAAAATCTGTGGCAATGATGCAGCATCACCTGTAACTTCTATCCAATCACATGTAAGTTGATACAATGTATTTTATAAACTCCTTGTGAAAATCCAGCATGTGAGATCTCCAGCATTCTGCTGTTTAGTAGACAGAATTAGATATAGGCCTCATTAGGAATGCACCGATACCTATACTATTATCGGTACCGATGCCAAGTATTTGGGCGAGTACTCATACTCGCCCAAATGCTCCGATGCCTAGCCCGATACCTGAGCTTCCGGTATCAGGAAGCCAAGCTGCGAGTCATTACACGCTGCCCGGTTTCCTGATTGGCCGGCCAGCCAGCCAGCTCCATGCTCCCTCGTCACGTGTGGTCAACCAGGAAGCCGGGCGCCATGTAATGACTCATTGCCCGGCTTCCTGATTGGTCGAGAAGCTGGCCAATCAGGAAGCCGGATGGTGAGTCATTACCCGCCCCCGCCTTTCTGATTGGCTAGAAAGCCTGCTTCATGCTCCCTCGTCACCTGGCTTCCCGGCCAATCAGGAAGGCAGGCGCCATGTAATGACTCATTGCCCGGCTTCCTGATTGGCCAGCTTCTCGACCAATCAGAAAGACGGGCAATGAGTCATTTCACGGCGCCCGGCTTCCCTATTGACCAGAACGCTGCAACCATGCTTCCTCTCCACCTTCCGTGCTACTCGGGAAGCCGGGTGGCGAGCCTTTTAATGTCGCCTGGCCTCCCAGCTAATCAAAAAGCCAGGTGGCGAGTCATTACATGCCGCCTGGCTTCTTTAATGGGACTTCCATTATCGGTATAGGCGAGTACCGAAAAAAATATATTGGTACTCGTGTTTGATACCGAAAAAACGGTATCAGTGATGATGGGAAAGTCAGGCCACTGGAGCTTATGATAGTAAAGGAGTATACTCGCCATACAATATGTACATTGTTGTCTATGGGCAGCTGTACTCAGCACCTGTGGCTTCCCAGGTGGGGAAATACGCCTGAATTTTGTGTGTACTCCCTCTATGTGTATGAGGCTATATAATTTTGGGCATTGTGTAAAAATCTGGGACATTAAAAAAACTAAGGTGTCACAAATAGGAGATAAACCAGTGTTTGTGTTAATGTTCTAACCTGCATAGCTGGAATCCTATTGTTACCTCCACTTTCCTTTGGTTACATTTTACACTTGAAGCCTGCTGACATCTTTGCTGCTGTGATATTCAAGGTATCCAGTGATTTGTAAACAACATTACTGTAAACCAAAAGACATAATTGTGTTATATCAATGGAAATGGTCAATTGTAAAGAAGAACTCTAACTGATAAAATATTATTTTACTGTAATATTATTATCTGCTACTGTGTCGTCTCTTTTATCACCTTCATCTACTTCAAACTCATTTTTTCTCACATGAAGAATGGGAATGTGCCGATTACTTTCAATCAATGTTTTTCTGTAACCAGGCTAATAGAAGGGTCAGATGGCTTCTACTTGTTCAAATACTGTAAACTGTCTGTCAAGACAGGAGCAGCTGAAATATAACCTACTGTCCTGATAGTATGCTGTGGTCTAATACAGGATATTTTGTTTTATCTTTAAGATCTTGTGGATCAGCAAAATTGATTTAGCCTGCAGCTTTATTATGGAGCTATAGCATATACACTGCCTGGCCAAAAAAAAAGTCACCACCTGGGTTTAGCTAAGCAACTAGGTCAAAGCCTTTCATTGGATAATTACTGTAGTGATTAATATGTTTCATCTGTAAAGCAATTGAACCCTAACTGACGCAGTGAGTAGCTTCTCATTTCTTAAACAACCAGAAAACATATCCTGTGGGCGTAGAAAATATCTGTTTCAGAAGGGTCAAACAATTGGGCTGCATCAAGCAAAGATAAACAACTAAGGAGATTGCTGAAACTATTAAAATTGGGTTAAGAACTGTCCAATACATCATTAAAACCTGGAATGATAGTGGTGAACAGGGGAGTAACTAGAAATCACAGGGCCCCATAGCAAAATTTTATATGACCCACTATAGACCCCACAGCGCCCACTTGAGACCCCGCACATACCAGAAACCATGCACAGCCCACCTGAGACTCCACAGAGCCCACCTGAGAGTGACCCTGCAGAGCCCACCATAGACCCCAAAGTGCCCACCTGGGAGCCTGCAGTGCCCACCATAGACCCCGCACATACCAAAGACCCTGCGCAGCCCACCTGAGAGTGACCCTGCAGAGCATACCTGAGACCCTACAAAGGGCACAATAGACCCAGCACAGATTACGTGAGACCCTGCAGAGTCCACCTGAGAGCCTGCAGAGCCCACCGTAGACCCCATAGCGCCCACTTGAGACCGAGCACATACCAGAGACCCTGCAGAGCCCACCTGACAGTCACCCTGTAGAGCCCACCATACACCTCGCAGAGCCCACCTGAGAGTGACCCTGCAGAGCCCACCATAGACTCTCTATAGTGGTCTCTGCTGGGTCTCAGGTCGGCTGGTCGGGATCCCTTTCCCTGCACACTGCTCTACTTTTACCTTTTAACCCCTGAGCCACTGGGCTCTGGCCTCCTCTACCTCCGCCGATCTCCTCGGCCACCTCTGCAGCCGCTGCTGCCTCCCGGCCTCCTCCTCCACCGCTACTGCCGGCCCTGACCTCCTCCACCACCACCACCACTGCTGGGTCCCAGCGTCCTCCTCCTCCACTGCTGCTGGGCCCTGGTCTCCACCACCACTGCTGCTGGGCCCCCTTCTGCCCCGGGCCCCACAGCGACCGTGTGGGTTGCTATGGTGATTGTTACGCCATTGGTAGTGAACCATCATCTTCGAGGAAGAAATGTGGTTGGAAAAAAATGTTGAATGATCTTGATCAGAGATCACGTAAAGGTTTGGTGAGAACAAATCATAAAAGATCAATAGTAGAACTCACGGCTTTGTTAAATAGTGTAAGTAAAAGCATTTCCACATACACAATGTGAAGAGAACTCAAAGGATTGGGACTAAACAGCTGCATAGCCTTACGAAAACCACTCATCAGTGAGACTAATCAGGAAAAAAAGGCTTCAATTTGCTAGGGAGCATAAAGATTGGACTTTGAAGCAATGGAAAACGGTCATGGGATCTGATGAGTCCAGATTTACCCTCCTCC